CTGCTTCCAAAACAAAGCACAATCATACTTACACACATGAATTGCCTCATAGCTCAGACCCAGTTTACTCAATAACTTCTTCGCCTTGTAATGCGATGTAGGTAACTTATTCCCTTCAGGAAGTGCATCTCTTAGTAGCTTTAACATATCATCCATGCATTCATTAGGCCACTTGTACAACACTTTTAGATGCATTAGTTTCACTAAAAAATTCAATGATGAATCCTTAGTGCAACCCGGATACAATCCGACTTGTAGCTCGGATAAGAGATCTTTATATTCATCGTAATGCATATCTTCTATAACTGTTTCTGTCTCACCCATTGTCTCATGATCATCACTAATCCCAGCCACATCATTTAGCACTGCAAACATTTCGTCAACAAATTCACTAACAACTGCAGCAGCAGGACGTACTTCACCATGTGAATCCATGTGGTGTAACTTGTATCAAAACCCCATCGATGTATGTGCGCTTTCACTGTTTCGGGTGGATGCATCTCATGATTTCTACACTTCATACATGGACAACTAATACGCCCGAGTTCATTTGCATAATTCTTTCCAACCTTAATAAAAGCACATAACTCATCCCAGTACTCATCATACAACTAGTTCCTTAAATGTATCCAACTATTGTCCATTGGCATCTCCACTACGAAGAATTTATAGAGTTTTATCAAATTTTATGAAAATCAACACAAATTATTTTATAATAAGTATTTAACATTAGTTCATTTAATTATTTTAGTACAAATATAATCTTAATTAAAATTTTTATCTAATTTTTTAATTATCACATAATAATCATTAAACAAATTTTATACAAATTTTAATCTAATTATCACATATTTCAATTTCAATTCTAATTTAAAATTCACAATTCTAAATTCAAAACCACAAACTATATCTAAAATCTAAAACAAAATTATAAACCATAACAAAAATACCAAAATAAATTAACAAAATACCAAAATATTAACTCACAAAATCCAAACCCACAAATACCAGGGGTTGGAGAACGGTAAGGCAGCAAAGTGGAAGGGCGATGGTGGCCGGAAAATGGGCAGCGACGGCGGGATTAAGGGGAGGCGACGGCGAGAAAAAAACACAATTTTTTTTTCAATTTTTTCGCAATATTTTTCGACACAAATGAATTATTTGAAGAGAGAATGAAGTATTTAAGCTTTTTTCGAAGCTTTTGGATGGAATGGGGCGGTTTTGGATGGAGAGGAAGCGAGAAAACTGAGAGCTCACCGAAAAAAATGGCAGAAAGAGGTCTGGCATCGCATTTATATAGGCCATTTTTTGCGACGACATAATGTCATTGCAAAAACATTAAATCGTCGTCGCAATTAATGTTAAAACGACGGTGTTCTTCTTCACCTCATTAATATTTCTAAGAATATTCCTAAGGAATATACCCTGGCTCCTTTTTTGCGATGACACGTTAACAATGTCGTCACAAATAATTTTCAGGAAACCGCCAAAGTTTCCGCCATTTTTTTGGAAAAAATTAAATCCCCAGTTATTTGCGACGACACGTGTCGTCGCAAATAACAGTCATCCTTTATAGAATTTTCTGTAACCTTTTTTGTGATGACACGTGTCGTCGCAAAAAAATCGTTCTAAAAAGAATTTTTTGGAACCATTTTTTACGACAACATTTTGCATTGTCGTTTCAAAAAATAAAGAAATATCTGGAACCTATTCGCGGGAAAGTGCCAAATTTCCCGCCTCTTTTTGGACACGTCAACGCCAGCTGTAACTATCAATATTTGTGACAACATGTCATCGCAAATAATGTACAACTTGGTGCCGAAATTATTGGCGCCAGATTGGTTCTGGCGCCAATGATTATTAGCGGCGACATGTCGTCGCTAATATGGAGTTCCATTTTAGCGACGACATGTCGTCGTAATTAGATAAAGTTTGTGCAATGACGTGTCATCGCAAATATGGAATGCGACGACAAGTCGTTCAAAAATTTTGTTCTCTTTTAAGCGACGACATGTCGTCACTAATATGGTAATTTTAGCAACGACAAATGTCGTCGCTAATAATGTCGTTGCTAATAACCTTTTTTGTTGTAGTGATTGGAAATAAAAATAAGTAATAGGATTAATGGTCATTGATTCCCTTTCAAGTGTTTACTTGATTATTACATGCTGTAATGCGGCACAATCCCATTCTTTTTTCAATGTTTACTAAAATTAGGAATAACAACTTTTAGTGCAATCACTAAAAAGTTATTTTTCACGTCTAAATAATCATTGATTATATAATAATTCATTAAAAATAGATAAGTTAGGTATTCATTCTTTTTGACAAGGAATCAATATTAAGAAGATGTAGGTATTGACATTCTTTTTCCTAATTTCTTATATTGTACGGAGCCCACTAAATTTTTATTACTAATTTTGTAAGTAAATACTTATTAAATGAAAAAGTGAATCGCTCCTCTGTTTCCCTTTGATGCAAAATAAACGCCCCCTTTAAGTTACAAGTCAATGGGGGCATTCATTATTGAAGGCAAAAAGGGTAGGCTTTTAACTAAGGGTGGCAATTCGTGTTAGTGGGTCATGTTTGTGTCAGCCCGTTTATTAATCGTGTCAGAAAATATCAACCGAAACACGACCTGTTTATTAAACGTGTTAAAAATGTCAACCCAAACACGACTCATTTATTAATCGTGTTAATCGTGTCAACCCGTATAACCCGTTTAAATTAATATATTGAATAAATAACTAATATAATAATGACTTATTTAACATGGTCAATACAGGTTTAACATGTTTATTGATCAATTTATCTTTTCCTTTTGAAAAAATAAATAAAATTTACCTGCAAATATTAAAATTCACATTATTTGTATTTAGAGTATGTTTGGTAGGAAAGAAAAGTAGAAGGAAGGAAGAAGGTAGAGGGATTTTGGGAGGAAAAATGAAAATGTAGGTTGTTTGGTAGGAGAGAAAAGAGAAAGGAAGAGAAAATGGAGTGGAAAATAATACATGTGGGTCCCACTATTTTTTTTCTTTCCACAAGTGGGCAGAAAATGGGATGGAAAATGGGGACAACTCATTAAAGTGAGCAAAGTTACTAAACTACTATTTTCTCCATCAACATCCAAGCAAAAAATTTAAGGGTATAAAAGTAATTTACAAGTAAGATTTTTTCTTTCCTCCCAATTTAACTTTCAATACTAAACAAGTGAAGGTAAGCTCATTTTATTTTCATCTTCTTATACCAAACAACATAAAAGAAAATTAATTTTCTTTCCGTCATTGCTATTTTCCATCACTTTCATATTTTCTTTCTATCCTATTTTCTTTCATTCCTACCAAACATAGCATTAATGTCATATAAACCTTTATGTTATATCACATATCGTTAGATTACAGATGATACATATAGTTAATCGTGTCAATTCGTGTTAGGAGGTCAACTATAACCCAACTAATTTATTAATCGTGTCAATCCAATTATGACCCAAACACTCAAACCCGCTAATTTCTACGGGTTTCAAATCGTGTCGTTACCCGGATTGTCAGCTCTACTTTTAACCATTTGGATAAAGCGGGTACTGCACATTGGTTCAAGGTAGATCACCATGAGAATCATACTCATTGTATATTGTATATTAGATTAAAAAGTGATGATTTAACGAAATTAGTGATAGTTGAAACTATAACCTATTGTTAGGATAATTTTTTCCGCACCCTAATACTTTTTTTTTTCATTTTATTTATTATATAGAGAATTCTATAACAGGATGTAAAAAATATTCTACCTGCAAAATATGGTTTTAAACTAATAATTACATTATAATTATACGAGATTAAGAAATAATTTAATGTAACTTTATGATAAACTATTTAAAATTGTATCATACCCATTCTCATTATTACATGGTGTTATATACTATGTAGTACTCTTTTTTCCAAGAGAATTGTCTTCATTTCCATGAATACTAACAAATTACAATCAGATTTATAATAATTATATACATCCTATTTTTCATAAAAGTATAGTTCGTTATTTTTCTTTTGCATATTATCGCGGTCAAATCATTGAAGAAAAAAAAATAGAACAATATATTGCCAATATCGACAAAAATGAGTTTGAGCCACGATGATATTATTCTGTTAGCAACAAACAATCTAGGAACAATCTAGGAACAATCTTGATTTTGGTTGGCGAAAGTTTTGACGTGCATGATCAATAACAATAACACAAAAATTAAAAAAAAAAAAAAGACTTATTAGAAAAATAACATGTTTGTTTAGCAAGGGACGTGCGATGTGGTGGGCACGTAGAGAGAGAGAGATAAGTGTTGTTATAAAAACACTGCATTAGTTTTAGTGGTTAAACTCTTCTCATTCCGAGTTTCCCGCGAAACAGAACTAACATTTTTTGTTTTTTTGGTTCCTTTTTCTCTTCTGTTTCTTCTTCTTCCGTTCTTGTAATTCTCTCTCTCTCTCTCTCTCTCTCTCTCTCTCTTCCCCACATTCTGTTCTCTCTCTCTCTTCCCCACATTCTGTTCTCTCTCTCTTAAAACTTTTCAATCTATTGTTTCTTCCCTTTTCTTCTCTGATTGATTGAATCCCAGGTCGATTTATGTTATCCTTTTTTTGGTTTTTTGTTTTCTTTTAAATGTTGATTTACCATAAATCTTGTATGAATTAATTTTGATGTTCTTTCTGGGCTTTTCACGTTTTTATCCTTACGTTTCAATAAGAGTCAGATTTTTTTATGGCTTTTTTCTTCCTTAACTTGTGCTTATACAAAAACAAAGCAAATTCTATGTTTGGTTTTGTTTTGTTTTTTGTTTTTTTGTTTGTTTGTTTGTTTGTTTGTTTTTTTTTTTGGATCTTAATTGGTTGCTAATGTATTCGACTTGTAACCTTACATGCAGGGATTCTTGTATTCTTGTTTGATTTGGCTTTGTGCATGGACATTTGAGTTTTTTGCCCATTACAAGATTTGGAACTAAAAAAATTATGTTCTGCTGCGGAGGTACGGAGGAGGAACACACTGGACCGCCTGCGAACCAATATGCCCCGCCTAGAGGAGGCAACACCTACGGTGGCGGAGGTACTTTACCAAATCTTATCTCCAATCCTATTCTCAAATCGTCATGCAAAACTTTATACGACGATTAAATTTCGAACAAATATCAAATAAGTCGTGATGCAAATCAAACTTTTTTCCTCATAGCGCTTCGATTAAAATGATTTTCTGGTTCCGTCATTGATCGATAAATAATGTTATGTTCCCGGAATGTGTTAAGCAGGGAGTGGGAGAGGAGAGCCAAGGAGTTCCAATATGGTAAAGAGTGGGGCTCCACAGAAAGTCTTACCCATTGAAACACCAGCCATATCATTGGACGAATTGAATAGGTGTACAGGCAATTTCGGCTCCAAAGCTTTGATTGGAGAAGGCTCTTATGGAAGGGTTTTCTATGCAAAGTTGAGTAATGGCCAGGCTGCGGCAATAAAGAAGTTGGATACCAGTACATCACAAGATCCAGATTCTGAATTTGCAGCTCAGGTGAGATTTTGTGGGACATTTCTCTTTGCTAAAACTAATATATATATATATATTTTTTTTGTTTTGTTAATTTTTTATGCAATCCTTGTCATCAATGAAAAAATTGATAATGGACTATGCAGTTATCTCAAGTGTCAAGACTTAAGCATGAGCATTTTGTGGAGTTGATTGGGTATTGCTTGGAGGCTAACAAACGGATTTTGGTGTATCAGTTTGCCACTTTGGGTTCTGTACATGACATATTACATGGTACGTTCATTAATATGTATAAGTATTGAAATTCAATTCAGTTGTTAGATTTTGGTGCCGTAGTTTTTAATTTTCGGTTCAACGGGTGTGGTCATATCACACGGAACAATACTGAAGAGCACCGACAGTGTTTAACACTATATATGTGGCACACTCACTATTAATTTGGTATTCAACATAACAGCAAACATTTTTCTGTCACACGTTTTAAAAATTCAGATAGGGTGATTCCAACTTTTAGATGATGTGATATGAATGTATGGTAGACAGGAAATAAGAAGTATAATTCAATTAGAGAAGTTGAGTTAATAGTTTTGTACTACTATTGTTACATGTTTTCATTAGATGTGAAATCAAAATTTGAGTCATCTATGATGATCAGGAAGGAAAGGGGTACAAGGGGCTGAACCCGGTCCGGTTCTAAGTTGGAACCAGAGAGTTAAAATAGCCTGTGGTGCAGCCAAAGGCCTCGAGTTCCTGCATGAAAAAGTTCAGCCTCCTATTGTTCACCGTGATGTCAGGTCCAGCAATGTCCTACTCTTTGATGATTATTCTTCCAAGATAGCGGATTTCAGCCTGACCAATCAGTCGTCCGATACTGCGGCACGGTTGCATTCCACTAGAGTCTTGGGGACATTTGGTTACCATGCCCCTGAGTAAGCCTTATTTTGTCCTCAAAGTTTGGCTTCCAATAACCAACTATGCACCAATTTTTGGTATGAATTGCTTTTTTCCTAATATAAAGTTATCGATTCTTGTTCAGGTACGCGATGACAGGGCAGATTACTCAGAAGAGCGACGTCTATAGTTTCGGTGTCGTTCTTCTGGAGCTACTAACCGGTAGAAAGCCAGTAGACCATACAATGCCAAAGGGGCAGCAAAGTCTTGTTACTTGGGTACGTTGTTTTCTTTATATATCAACTTTTCAAATCACAAAGTTTTAACATTTCAATTGACAAAAAGGTTGTATCGTCTGATTGAGAAGTAACGATTTACTCGTTATGTCAGTTGACATTAGAAGAATTAGTGTGAAAATTGGTATTAGTAGAATTGTTCTTCTTTCACAAATCATTCCTTGCAGCTCTAACAACTGCATAATGTACTCAGGCAACTCCAAGATTGAGCGAGGACAAAGTCAAGCAATGTGTTGATCCAAAGCTAAATAATGACTACCCGCCAAAGGCGATTGCTAAGGTTTTCTCTCCATTCTTTTTCTCTCGGAGAATTCTGTGGCATGTTATGAAAAAATACACTACTAATAGGACGCAATACTGAATTATCAAAACACATCAGAATCATATCAAACTAAGAAGTATGATACTACAACAAAATTCGATAAAGACTGTTCAAAACTGTGGCCCTACAAATTTATTTTTGATTTCTTGAGTTTTTAGAATCTAATCTCCATGTTGGTTTTCATTTTCTTTTTTTTTTTCATTTTGAATTTCTCAGTTGGCAGCAGTTGCAGCACTTTGTGTTCAATACGAGGCCGATTTTCGGCCGAATATGACTATTGTTGTGAAGGCTCTACAGCCACTTCTCAACTCAAAACCTGCAGGCCCAGACTCACGCCGCTAAATCCTTTTCTACCTCAGATATATAAGCAAACTTAATTTGTTGTGTAATTTGTAACTTTATTTTCTATTCTTTTTAATCCCTTCTTTCTCATTCTTCTAAGCTGATTCGAAACATTCTTGCAAGCAAATTTGCTGGAGGATTGTGATTTTTCTGATTCTGCTCTCAATAATGTCTTGACATTAGTGAATATATGGAGTTCTGGAACTGTATTTGTAGAAAGCAAGTACGGTTGCAAATCAGTTTAGTCTCAATGTAACAAATTTGTTATTCTGTTGTGTCGTAATATAAGACAACCATATGTGTGTGTGTATACATACATGTGTGTCATATACATATATATATATATATATATATAATTTTTCTGATTCTGCTCTTAATAATGTCTTGACATTAGTGAATATATTGAGTTCTGGAACTGTATTTGTAGAAAGCAAGTACGGTTGCAAATCAGTTTAGTCTCAATGTAACAAATTTGTTATTCTGTTGTGTCGTAATATAAGACAACCATATGTGTGTGTGTATACATACATGTGTGTCATATACATATATATATATATATATATATATAT